ACTGATATGAACGAAGGTTCCATTGGAATATATCCAGTCACATTTTCGTCGTCAATGTAATCTGTCTGATAACATGAGGTGTTTGAAAGTATTCACGCTGATCTACTAGTTCCTCTTAATGGATCAGAACAATTTAAGTAGTTTCAATGGTAGGTGGACGAGCTCATTAATGGTTCAGTTGCTGAACAAAACTAGTCGTTTGTAACCAGAATGAAGACATGATATGAGTTATTTGAAAATAATTAATACTTTGACCATTATTCGTCATAATGAATGTGTCAGATCGACAGGCAGACGAACATAGAATCATGAGATTCAGATAGTGCGATCCAGCCAGTATTTTTGTAAATGGTTAACGAGATTCAAACTCAAAATACTTAATGAATAATGATTGTGGACAAAATGGAAAGCTGATTGGCGGCAGGATTTCAAACAGTGGTACTCATTCACAAGATCCAACTTCTGTCATGTGAATCAATGATACTTTACTGTCGGTGGATCTCATTCGATTTACTTAGCTAGGACTTTCTTGTATCATTTCTAATCATGACGAATTAGAAGGAAGGCAACAAGTGGAGACTTGAATCCTGCCACAACCTAGAAATTCATTTCGCTTTCAATCACTACCCATTTTATCAGTAACAATATGGTACCCAGTGGTTACCTATGACATCGAATAAATAAATAGTATAACGGAAGCTGGTTGTGACCTTTACCAGATTATGACCTATATAAAAACAATTCGATACAGGGTTTCATCATGAGCTGACATCGGTTACAGAACCATTGGAAAACCTGGGAGTAGTGGACAGCTGCTTCATCGGCTTAGTTTGGGACTCTTCATCAGTGCGCTTCACCGTCACGTTTCGAATCCAGGACCTTCTGGTTACAAGGCGAGCTCGTAGACCACTGAGCTACTGCGACCCGATACAACGGCCAGTCCCTGAATTCCAACTTCTGCCAATTCTGCTTCGTAACCAGAAGGTCCTGGGTTCCAACCCTGGCGGTGGGTGCATACTTCTGAAGAGTCCAAAACTGGACCGACGAAATAGCTGTCCAGTACTCCCAAGTTCTCGACTGGTTCTCTAACCGATGCCAGCTCATGATGAAATCCTGTTACAAATCACTCAAACCCCTACAAACCAACACTTAAAACCAATTGTTTGGTATTATTTTCCTTGATCGTGAGTAGCAGTAGAATCCGGAATACTCGTTTCGTCATAGTTAGGACTCGTCAGAGAGTGGTGTCCTTGCCACTCCCACGGCAGTGAGTGATGATGTTCCCATTGAGACGGGCTCTCAACTCTCATTGTTTCTAACACACATCTTCTTAGATTCCACTGTTAGTCACCATCAACCATAATGACATCACATTAACTTTCACACCTCGCTGAATCGTCTGACATGTCAGTAGAGGCCGAGTATCTCGGGTCAAGATAACCAATCAACTGGAAGTGTAAATTAATTTTAAACACAAATTGACGAATTCATTATTCCTCCAGGAATTAAATGAACTGAATTGATGAATTTTAATAAGTCTAGTAGTTACACCCATACAGTAGTATTAAAATAAGGTTCAGTGGGAAACATGCCCACCAGCCAATCAGCCAGGTGGGAGGTCCGCGCTCAATTCTCGGCCTGATTTACTAGCCAATAGTAAGCTTGGAAGGGAGGAAAGGTTGAAGGTAAAGCGCTGACAATCACACCATATGAAAAAAAACACAAAGCCAACTCTACTGAAACCTCAAAAAAAAGCTTGAATCCGCTATGTTCCACACGAAATGTTGGGAATGAAGGAAAAGAAAAGAAAGCTTATTTTATTTTTAAATCGATCATTAAAAACTTTTGAAGAAAAAGAAGAAGAAAAGAAAGTAATTGAATATTGACTGTTCCAGATTAACTTTTAAGATTTTACATACTAACTTTCACAATATAACTTAAATGTCTAGACAAAATATGCATGAATAAATAATAAGAATGGTAATGGACATTAAGAAAACGTGAAATATGTATAGATATATCGATTTGTGAACAATATTAATAATTTATCTAATGTTACGCCTGCGGTAATTCGACTTATTCATCGAATTTAGCACTTAATTTCTAGCAAATAGGTTCGAGTTTAGTCCTGTCTACTGCAAGCTAGACAATCGAATAATAATAATAGTTCAACTTCATACAGTAATTATGGCTCATAGGCAGGCAATTGAATGCCAAATAGTGAGGTTTGGGATAAAACCATAGAACTGTGAATTATTTATTTTTCGTTTTTTGTTTTGTACAATACTGTATTTTATCGGCGATAATTCAGCCGTATTAGGAAATTCGGAATAGTGATTTGGTTGACAATAACAAGTCTGTTATCTGTTTTCGACATAGAAATTTGCATTGATGTGCAGCAATTCAAGTTAATACACTCCTTCCTTACAGCACACAAAGCAAGAGAAGAAAGTAGAAGAAATGCATAATAGAGACAGTAGATAGAGATATGAGACAAAAGGAATAGTAATAACGAAGAACAATACGGTTTCATTGGAAATCATAGGTCACATGGAGTGGATACATCTGCGCCATTGAGAACGATTTTGAGCCATATCACCAATTGTTTCCAACCATTCGTTTTTACCGTCTTGAGGACCCCAACCAGGGAGTCTACACCTTCCTACGTGGCTTAGACTAACTGTTGTGGACTTCACTGACTGGCGAAGCCATGTTTTGGTTTGACCGCCACTAGCTCTTTTCCAACCTGACCCTATGTCAGCTAAGATTTCCCATCGAGGAAGGTGATGACTAGGCATACATAACACATGTCAGTTGATGTAGCCTCACAGCTTTGTCGATTGATTTCGCCTCCTTACCTAGAATTCAACGCCTAACCTCAGTATTGCTCCCCTTATTATACCACTTCACACAGAGGATAGAACGCGAGCACCTATGATCAAAGACAGTTAGCCTTTATATGCCTTCTACTTTCAATGGCCAGGTCTCACAGCAATAAAGGAGGATGGAGCGGCCTGATGATCAGTACACCCACCATTTGGTCGATAGCCGGATATCACGCCTACGCCAGAGACGGAGTAAACTGGCATATGCAAAACTAGTCCTGTGTATCCGTGCTGAAATTTCGTCAGAGATCAACCCGTTGGCACTGGCTGATGCAACTTCCCAGATAAGTGAAGCAGTCAGCGTGCTCTACCACTTCACTCCCTATTTTTAGGGAGTTGATAAAGAATTGGGCAATGTACGCCGTAGTGTTCAAGTAGTTTCCAAATTACTTCTCAGTCTACTCTGTATCGAAATTATTGTTACCCATTAACTCAGAGGATAAGAAATAATAAAACGATAGAAACAAAATATGAAATAATTCGTAGGAGCACTTTGATATGATTATGTGCAATAAATTATGCTAGAAAGGTTATTAGCAAATAAACAGGATTGTATCACTGCGTGCGCTACATCAAATAAAATCCTTCTATGATGAAATTATACCTTACTACAGTGATCCAATTCTATTCTAGTGTTTAAGTATACGTCTGCCTTACGGGTCCTATGTATAATTTCACTACTAAATTAAAAACATTTATTTCCCGATACAAATTTAAAACAAGCAATAAAGGTTAGTTATGTAGGATTTAATGAATTCATCAAATTTCGGTAGAACTTGTCAGCTGAATACTCTACATACATGGATATATATACTTTTGAAATTACATTGGGATATATGAGACTGATAAGTAAACAAACTACATTTAATTAATCCTCCAGAAAGACAGGTACGAATGTTTTCCAGGTCATATTCAAACTCTGATAGTACTATTGAGCATGAAATAAAATCTTTGAAGGATATTTTATCTAAGTACGGATATCCTGAGAAGTTCATTAATCAATACTCTAAAGAAATTAGCCCCTGCAAAACAATCCACACAGTTCCGAAGAAACCTGTCTATATCAATTTGCCATTCAAAGGAGATGATGTACAGGAAGTAGTCAAATGAAGACTCGACAAAGCCATCAGGAGAACTTATTATGCTGCAAAACTTGTTATCCTTAACACTACTAAGCTATTGCTTTAACAATCTAGGAAAGACCAGTAGCCAATCCTCGACAGACTACAAACTGCCTATATCAATTTGAGTGTGTTTGTAGAAGCAAATACATGGGTCGTACAGAAAGGCGATTGTCTACTCGCATGATGGAGCATTTGGCAAAATGGTTGAAAGTAGCTGAGTGTAAAGCGCCAAAATCCTCAATAATAAAACATATTGCGAACTAAGAACATGATATCGACGCGGTCAAGTCATTCACTATTGTCAGCAGACAAAGAAACAAGAAGACGCTTGCAATTGCAGAGACTTGTGCAATTCGAGTTTGTAAACCAGGAGATGGTCGTGACTCTGAATCTACCATAGTAATAAGTTTTACTTATTGTTCTACCTCTTATTCTTATTATTCTTGATTCATTTAAAACTATCCTTTATCAGTAGGATTATCTTAACTCACTTCAACGCTATTATTAATATTATTGTTATTATAACTATTACCACCGATATTAGTCTGTTTGCAATTCTAGTTATATCCTCTAATGACTAATTGTTTATCTAAGTGATGTAATTGAAGCGTAATGCAATTTATCTTAATTCTGATCTCTCATACTCTCTCTCCCCTTATCTATTTGAATATGGCCTGGAAAACATTCGCACCTGTCTTTCTGCAGAACTAATTCAATGTAGTTTGTTTGCTCGCTTATCAGTCTTATATCTTCCAATGTAATTTCAAAAGTTTATGTATCCGTGTATTCAGCTGATGAGTTCCACCAAAATTTGATAAGTTCACTACTAAATATTCAGTTATATCCATTTAACAATATAGTCTATAAGGATGCCACTTTCTAATCCTGCCTAGGTTAAATTTGCCGGCGAACATAACTAAAAGTGTTATTAAAAATTAATTATTTCAATGACAAGTATTGAATAAACGGAGAACAAATTGATAAGACTTACTCCACTACTACCTTCACTTCCTGTTGCATATGTTGAGTCACGACCACTGTCTAGACTAGCTGAACTATTCCGCTTATCACAATCTGTCAAGTAACTATTATTGTTAGTATTCCATTTGCAGTTTTAATTGGTGAATTGTTATATACCTGTGAAGAACAACACTTTCCGGAAATGTTTGACCTTTGTATCAAATGACCAGATTTGTCTACTGAAGGTGAAGGAAGACTGCTTGTACACTGCTGGTCATCAACCGGTAAAATATACTGGTCAGTATTATCGCCTTGTACATTCATTGGTGTACATCCTGCTCTTGAGACTGGATTCATCATTGACAACTTGAAGTTGGTAACATGTTCGAGTCGAAAGTTGAATAATTCGTTTCCGACTCATCAGAATCATCTGTTTCACTAGAGTACTCTGATACAGAATCTGTTTGTACCTGAAGAGAATTATGAAAATAATAACAACAAGAGAAGAGGTTAAACACTAAAGTAGACGGTAATCAAGAGAGCAAGTATATTTGCATAAAACAGCATACTAATAACTGACTGAGATGAGTAGTTGTATGCCGCCCACATCACAACCAGGACTGTTTTCTAGCCAGACAAATCGCAGTGATCTAAACATCGGACAGCCGTTCCGCTCGTTGTTTGTCGCCTAGCCGCCCATCAGTGGTGTACCCGGTTTGATTCAACTCAGAGGGATGACCAAATCAGTTCAAACCACTCGACGAACAGGCATAATTATGATTTAATTGGTGGATAGTGACTAGCAATGGAATCCAGGATAACGCGCATTTCGTCTTATTTGGGACTCGTCATCTGGATGGGAAAATCTAAAATTCGAATCAATAGGGATAATTATGCTTTATGAAAATTGTACGTCGGTAAAACTCCGTGTGATTTCAGTACTAAGCTAAGCTAGAGGAAGCGGTTATAATTCTATTTAGGTTCATTCGAGTTTTTCTGAGTACTACAAGTGAAACATCATAGTGATAAAATTTTATTCTAACCATTCTACTATACATGTACAAAGAATTCTTCAGTTTAAGCATACCAGTATTAACATAAGACTAAGAGTTTCCCTGTGCGTCGCCGCCTGCGGTTAGGACGCTCGCTGACCACGTATATGGTCTGAGGTTCGATTCCCGGCTGACGCCCTCCTTCACCTCTTTAAGCCAGAAATAATGCTGATAAAGAAGAAAGGCTGGGCATGAGGCCAGGAACCTCATCCTGTAAAAAATAAACACTGCTACAGAAACTTCAAGCCACTAGCTTGAAGCCCTATGTTCCACTGGGAACATGAAGAAAAAAAAGAGTTTCCCCTGCTACAACTTACACGCCAGTTAAGCATATTCCTGTTTACATCAGTAGATATGAACTTGACCAGTTTATAAGTCGACAGACATTCACCAGAGTTCATCTCCAACTTTGTTTACAGATTCATACGTACATAAGAGAGAGCAATTACACTGGAAGGACAGAAGGGTAAGCATCCATTCGTTTCTCCCTGAACACATTTTAAAAATCTCAAATATTTCCATAGTAAAATTTAGAACAATGCATTCAAGCGAACAATATCGCTATCAATTAGATCTCATCAATCTTCACTCTAATACACATAACTTTACAAATGAAAAATTCCAATATAAACCAATCATGGTGTTTTGTCGACAGGATAATAAGATGGTGAATATAAATTGTGCAATTAGTCATAATTGTAGTAATGATAATAATAATAAAATAGTGGTTTTATCAATAATAAGGATGAAAAAGTGAGGCAATCTGTGATAACACGAATAATGAAAAACAGCATGATTAAACAAACAAATGTTCAGGTAGAAGTAGTCGATAAAGGCTAAGAAAAACAAATGAACAGATTAAGTAAGGTTAGATTATAAGGGAAGTAAATGAAACACGTTTTTAATGAAGATGTGATAAGATCAAGGGATGATAAGAAAGGGGTTGAAAATATAAGTAAGAGGTGATTGAGAAGTCATCAGTTGGTCATGTCTCATTGGGCCAACAAGGGAGGGATAATGGCTGTGCGAACTTCTTTTGAGTGAATAGTTTAGGTTTAATAGTTCGAATGCCTGTCACCTCAGCTGTGTGCGTGCAGTAGACGAATACGAAGTCTGTTGGAAAGATTCAGTGGGATACGATGAATTGCTTTGAAAGCTCTCGTTTTCTCCATTACATGACCACTATCAATTAAATGTGACAAAATTGAGTTACGGATTGTTTTTGTCTGTCCTTTGCCAAACCACGATGGGAGATGTTCACTAACACGTTGGTTGGCCAAGCTGTCTAGTAGTACGCCCAACATAAGTGTCACCGCAGGCGCAGTCGAATTGATAAATGCACATCTATGTGGCAAATCTTTCTAGATTATCCTTAGTTTGCGTCGCAATCATTCGTCGGCTAGAGAATGACAAACATAGTTGTGCTGCGTAAAATGTTCTTCGTATGCTCCTTGAAAGTCTTTGGAATAAAACCTCACTTGATAAGTCACCACTAATTTGTAACTTAATAATTAGAGGTTTCTTACTTGCAGTCAGAGTCTCAGGTTTTCTCTCTGATGTTTTCATACGCTTCTTTATGAAACTACTCAGATAGCCTATCTCCGTCAAGGAATCGTGAATATATTCAAATTCCTTTCGTAAGTGATCATCAGTACATATCTTTTTTATATTAAATGAGAACGTAAAAGTGGAACGGTGTGTTCATTTACATGATGACATGCTTTTTCTGTACACTCTTCTCCTAAGTGACCTATCTTCTCGCCTAATTAGCACGACGTCCAGAAAATGTAGTTTACTATCCTGCTCCTCTATACAAGTAAAAGTAAGCCGAGGGTAGATGTTGTTGAATTTCATCAACAATTCATCTATATTTGCATTCCCATCAATTAAGATAAATGTATCATCGACATAACATATCAACATATCTAACTCCTTGATGATGTCTTTCTCAATCTCCCGTTTTCAAGTTTTGCCAGGAAGAAGTCACTTAATATTGGGCCTAATTGTGAACCCATAAAGCTATTCAATCCACTTGTCGGTAATATGAATTATTAAAGACAAAGTGCACATTCATTGAGCATTTAAGAAGTAATTCTTTGAGGCTACACAAGGGAATTCCTAAGTCCAGTTGCCTTCCGGTGATTTCGTGGCAAATGTAAAAGCCTGAGATTCAAACGTCACCAGACTTACATCACCAGTACCACTTGCTAACATCGAATCGAATCGTAACACAAAACAGATATTCAAATTACATTTATCCTCACTAACAAATAAAAAAAATCCAACTTTACGTGGATTTGGTGAATCTACTCTCATCAAGTAATTCAAACTGAAATTTATGATTAATTTCATTTCATCCTGGTGACAGATTTTTCTACCTAATACACCTAATTGATTATGTATCCCGTTTTTGTTTGTCTTTGACCCTCCATTACCTATTCCTGAACCCATTGATCTTAACTCACTGAACTGATTTGAAGTCACCTCCAAATCCCTGCAGGCCTATTATTAAGTAATCTCTTACCTGTATATACTGCTGGTAGGTTAGTATTTATGGTTTTTGAGCCAACTATCAAAACTTCTCAAATCTTTTTCCAAAGCTGTAACGAGCAACAACTTTAGTTTTGGGTTAGTCGTAGAGATTATGCCATCCCATTTCACCCATTGCTGATTCCCTAAACTAAGATCCATAAGTCAAACTTCGTCCAATAGTATATAAACTGTGTGCGTTTATTTTGCTATTACTGCATATATTTCAGGTTGTCTACATATTAAGAGAAGTCTCAAAATAAAATATGCATGCATGTTTTATGCTATAAATTTTGTTTTCTCTTGCTTTGAGAAAGAGGATCAAGGGAACACTTTGGACAAGAATAAAGATCAATAAATGTTCAAGCATTACAACTCAATTTGTGAACACGAAAGAGATCTCAAATGTTAGGTTCGGTCATGAACCAGAATCAGTTGAAGAGATCACTTAAAACCACGGAACACTGGATAACTGCTTCGTCTTATTTCGGGACTCTTCAGCAGTGCGCATCCGCGGACCCAGCGGGGATAGAATCTTTGGGCCTTCAGGTTATGAGACCAGGCTCGATGACCATCCAGCCACATAGGGCGATGGATGGTTAGTGAACCATGAATTCTTACTTTAGCAATTCGTTATATAGTGCTATCCTGAACCAATCTCTTCGATGAGTACCCATTTTACCATGATATGGTGGAAACCACTGATCACTGCGGCTTCAGTATATCCAGTCACGAGCCATTAATGAGCTGCAGACTGATATTCAGATTATGAGATTTGTGGGGGAGGGGGATTTCCACTAATTTCGATTATTAAATTTCACCACGAACCAATATCGGTTAGAGGGATCATTGAAATCCTAGCTTTGGACTCTTTAGCAGTGTGTAACTAGGGTTCCACGGTCACAGATCAAACTCGGAACCAAACTTGTTGATCATTCAGAGCCAATTGTTAGATCTAACATTGGAAATTAATCGAAATCCCCACAAATTCTATAATCTAAACAAGAAGCCGTATTTGTTCAGTCCATTTGAGCTTTCGTTACTAATAGACACGTTTTAGATACAGTTATGCTAATTTCCAGTAAAAAAACCGTCGAGAAAAGAAAGAAAAGAGGTGATTAGTGTGGCTCAGGAAGAGGATGGAGGCTTCGGGATTTTCTATCGTGGTTATTACGTCATTATACTTTGTGGCGTCTACCAAAAAGATTACTTATAAAATATTGTTACAAGTACCACAGATTTCTTTTGGTCTTGAACTGCGTACATGTGCATTAGTTTAAAAGTTAAGATACTGAAAGAAAAATGGCCAGAAAAATAACCTATTCACATAAGTAAATTATATTTCTCATTGTCCTATTTACAATAGGATTTTCTGAGACAATCTTGGATTTATTATTACTATTCCTTTAGGTTTTGAGTAGAGCATCAAGATCTGACAGGATATTTCCATTTCATCATGTTGTCTGCACTCTTTTTAGCTGGCTCAATTACTGCTTATAAGCTTTCATGTTCTCTCCACACGATCACCGGCAGGCCGCCCTCTGACCAACGATCAACTCATCATTTCCCATTCAACTTTCACTAGAGGGCCTGGTATGCGATGTCATTCAACGGTGGTCTCAGCCAGTATATAATCCATTTCAACTTCCTTCTGTATGTTTGTTGAGTAGTAGGTTTCACGGTTGGTATGTTGTATGTCAGAGTCCCTTGGTGCTAATGCTCTCTGGAAGTACATGCTATCTTCAGTATAGAGCCAGTGAAGACAGCTGTTGATGA